AAGCCCAAATAACATTTGGACTTCGTTTCAAATATTATTGAGCCTTTTTGTTCTGAAATCTGCGTCACATCGCGGTGCTAAGGAGGTACAATTCATATCATAGCGATTCCCCTGTTATTTCATAGATTACCGCACTACCTTTCCTGCTACTACTTTCACCACACACCCCAACGCTAATATAAAAAACACAATAATATATCTTCTCGCGACAAGGGAGGCAATACAGTTGCTCTAAGTGTACTATCCGTTTAAATAACATCTAGCTACGTGAGGTTTCTTGCTAGAAGTGCCAACAATGAAAAGAGACGTACGCTGTGTTTTGCAGGCACAGCCTTCACCGTAGATCTGTATGTAGCAGAGATTATTGTCGGAACTGTGTGGCAAAGTGCTTTTCGAGAAATGAGAAGATGGAACATGATGGATGGCCACTATTCTGGATTAGTGATATGTTCAACCTGGATTGATGGATTGAGTTGTAAGGGCGTTGCGATGAAGTTCGATATGACGCCGCCGACTCACTGCGGTGTCTGGATTACGTGGATCGCGGCAGGACGAGGGAGATCAGGCGAACCCGAGACCTTGTACTGCTAAGCCGAAGTCGATGATATCAGAGGATGAACTTTGAAGAACCCGGGCTTGGGCGACCAGTCCGAGGTTGTGGAACTGGATCTTATAGATTTAAAGTCGAATATCACAGGTCTCGGAGCCTCGGGTATACGCGGGCGGACTCTTCGGATATCGAGTGGTGGGGGCCAGATTGCGGCGATCTGCATGGGGAAGATAGTGAAGAAAACCTGTGAAAGTTGGATCAAGACAAATCCTGCCTCAACATGCTCTAGGTGGCAAAGATCGTCAGGATCTGGTGTGGATGTGTCCTGATCCGGAAAGATTTACTACTACCTAGCCGTGAGACCGCGGATCTCGAACAGTGACGCCATATTAGGAGCGATCTACGTGCGGAAGTTCATGCTGAAGACCTGTGGAAGTTGGATCAAGATGGATCCTGCCTCGGTGTACCCTGAGTGACCAAGATCGTCAGGACCCAGAGTACATATGTCATGATCTGGGTTATATGCGGCATGATCTGGAGAAATCCGCTTCGATCCAGCCATCAGCCGAGGCCTACGCTGCCGATCAACCAATACCCGGTGCTGAGGACAGCTTGACGATGAAGATCAACAAGGGAGAGCAGGTACACAGCTGAATATAAAGGATTTAGTAATTGTGATCGTAGAGACAGTGTTGTATTGGCCCTAACTATAAATCAGACTCGAATTTGCATTGTGTTACACAAGTGCCATACTGCCCTCTAGATCCGGAACGACATTGACCGCATTGGGCTCAGCGATGGCCGGGAGTCGCAGGTCTAGTGTTGGTTGCGATACCTGGCTAAAGTATTGGCCAAATCGCACCACCTAGTAAAAGGAGGTTAACCGGTTTTACTCCTCGGCCGGGTGTACCTATTGACAAGATCCCGCTTTAGAGAGTGGCAAGCACGACAAAGAGGAAACTCCAGGAAACACGCCCACAAGGCTACCTACGGTCAAGGTCGCAGGTCAAGACCGCCAGATCCAGCAAGCTCAAAGTACTCCCTTGGGATCTGGACCCTACATTGGACGCAGAGTGAAGAAGTTCCACTACTATTCCACCCAATCCCCATCTCGCCAAGACATTCAAGCTTCACTCACTTGAACCTCTCTGCCGTTACCAGAGGAGCAAGATCCTGCCCTTCCGAAGTGTGCACAAGGTTAACAAGTCCAGCCGATCACGGATCCTCTGCCCCTCCATTCGTCGGTGTCTGGATACTGGTGGGGAAGTCGGATCCAGCAATCTCGCAGATTTTGCGGATCCCGCTACACCGCAATGGTGCGCGTGCCGGACCTTCTGCTTACTCCAGATATCACCGCGAGAAAAAAGAAGAGGTTCAAATGAAGATTGAACCGGGGGAATCAAACGTTGACGGACATCGGATCGATGTCAACGCCGCTGATTGAAGCAAGATCCGTGGATCG